AAAGTCAAAAGTAAAACTAAAACATAATTAAAATTCAAACATAATTTACATGTCATTTAAAAATGTGGAAAAATTCAAAACTTTTAACACCTTTTTATAAACGAAAAAACAAAAATCATAGGAAGTATTGGAAGTAATGGAAGTAATGGCAAACATAAGTGCATTAATTGGCATACAATTGGTTGGGCCGAGAGGTGGAGCGCTGTATATATGGTCTCATAATGTGATGTACAGTACAGTAGAGTCTATGGGAGGGATGGCATGGATTGGTCTCATATCAGGCCATCATATCTCTCGTAAAGTGACGTCAAATTGAGTGTAACTTTAAATTTAATTGCGAAACGAGTTTATAAAACACCAGACAATCGGTGAATAAAATCTCATTTCGGATACAGTTTTAGTCCACACTTTTAGTCCCCATTTATTTCTCTATCAAATCATTTGTCACTCATTTTTGGTGTGATTTTTGAGGAAAAATTTCATAATTAAAAAACTGATTGACAGAGAAATTATCGCTTATTTCTCTATCAAAACTCTGTTATCATTACTTAAATTGTGATAAAATATATATTTTATATTAATTTGATTTCATATTTGAAACACCATTTGAAGACATGTCAGCCGAACAGGTATTCAATTGACTTTTATGTAGATTTTATGTCTCTTTTAATTATTTTGTTTCAAATTTTAACCAATTTTTGTTTCTTTTTTAAAATTATATTTAAAATTTACATTCATTTAGCAATTGATTCATTCATTTGTGTCAAAATGAATAAAAAATTATATTATTTGAAATATAAGTAAATCAATAAACTATTGATTACTTATTAATTTTATATTGAGTTTAAATTGTGTTTAAGTTTGAATCTAACAGTAATTTACCGGTCATTTGATGCAAATATTAGACATAATTAAAACTAAACGAAAGTCATTGCCATATGTTTGGCTGACAAGTAGTGATACAACGAGTGGTTTGAATGCAATGATTAATTGAATGTCTTGTTGTCTGAAGCAGTTCCAGAAGGCCGTCGAAGACGTGAAGAAATTGAAGACCAGGCCTACCGACCAGGAAATGCTGGAGGTATACGCCCTCTACAAACAGGCCACTGAAGGCGATTGCAATACTAGTTTTGTCTGAAGCAGTTCCAGAAGGCCGTCGAAGACGTGAAGAAATTGAAGACCAGGCCTACCGACCAGGAAATGCTGGAGGTATACGCCCTCTACAAACAGGCCACTGAAGGCGATTGCAATACTAGTAATGACCAAAACAAGTGTCCACTAATTAATTGGTTATTAATAATGTTTTATTTACTCATTGACAGCCCGTCCGGGAATGTTAGACCTGAAAGGAAAGGCCAAATGGGACGCCTGGAACAGCAAGAAAGGTATGAACCCATCGACACATTTTTGCCATTAATTATCTTTAAATTTGAAATTTGTTTATTTGATTTGTAGTTTTAATTTACAGAATATATGTTAAATATAATGATTTGTTTGCAATGATAGGTATGTCCAAAGATGAGGCAAAGTCTGCATATGTGACCCGCGCTAAGGCTTTGATCGAAACTTACGGACTCTCATAACAACCGGACATTAATTTATTGAATTGTTTCCTTAATTTGATATCTCGTTTATATAATGGATTTGGGAGTTTTCAAATTGATTTAATTAAATTAATTTAATATAAAATTATATACCGGTAATATAATCTCAACTTATTTTGAAAATTATTTGAAAACAATTTTATTTATAAATGAAATTTAATTTAATAAATGAATTTATTTTGATTAATAAAAGCTTTTAGAAAACAGACGGTTTTGTTAATGATTTAATGCAAAAGTGATTTTCTAATGTAATATAAATGTGATATTTGCTGGGATTCTGGGAAAACCCGTTTCGCATGAAATAAATTCAATGAGATCTTTATTTATTTAACTGTTGGATAAAAATGCACACATTATTCACAATACAGTAGTATTTATTTCAATAATATTTGTCTCATATATGAACAAAACGCTCTTTTATTAACTGACTTTTTAATTGATAAATTAATTTTTTCTAAATTCTTCGCTAATTTCCTGTATTTGTTTTGTTTTCTCAATTTCTTATTATTTGATGAATTGATTATTATATTGAATACAAATTTCCCTGCAAATAACCCCTTCTCTGAGGCAATTGATTGTGTAAACCAATACATATACCGTTGTATTCTTTAACCTCTAGAATAAATAACAAAATTTATTAATAGAAAATATATTCAATTTTAATAAGTTATAAACATTTTAGATATTATTACACATTTAATCATTAAATTTTAATTCAATCCGACATTAATGTACTTTACATTCATTGAAATCCTCAAATTAGATGACATTGAGATATATTTACTTCTATTTTGTGATTTGCAATAATAAATTGCATAATAATTGCCATTAAGAATAAATTCTTCCGCAAAATAAGTTTTTCACTCATTTAATGTTTTATTCATTCAAAACAATTTAAATGACTTTTAAAAACTCTAATAA